TCTCGATAATAAATATCATCTTGTCAGCATATCGTGTAATTTTCATCGATCTTGTCGCGATTCGTTGCCACAAATTGCTCCGTGTCACTTCTGGAAGCTTAACGAACGCAAGCGAGGAATGATCGAATACTATTCGCGAAGCCGCGCGCAATCGCCATCGGCGACAACTCCTTAAGCTGACTTTATACCATGGGCGTGGAGTCGTATGAGCGCACTAGCTGCACCCCATAAACATACCTACGCTATATTCCGCACGCCGTTACCTGACGACAAAAATTCTGAAACACGAGAACCGACGGAACCTCGCGCCACGCCGCTATCTTTCTACGAGTATACCAAGTAGATATCATCCCTCGGGAAATGCGTCCTGTCCGAGTATTGACGTCGAGCGCACGTAGAGAGAGGCATGAAACTCGCGGCGAACGGCCTGATCCGATTAAGGAAACAAATAGCAATATAAATGTTAATAATTTTCCGATGATATCGCGGTTATTGAAACGCGATATACGCGGACGTGAATTTAGAAGGTAAACCGTGAGGCAAATTCGTATTACCTGAGATGACCATTGACGAAATAATCCCGAACATTTTCCCGTGCGATCGCGGTAAGTGATGGGAATAATATCAAGCGAGTGCCATGCATTCTCCGTAGGACGTCCCACGTACGGCGCTGGGACATGAAATTTATGACCACGATCCCTCGGCCGGGCAATCCGTCAGAGACGATCGCGAATCTCAATCCTCGTGTACCGACTTCACGGAGCTTGTCCCGGAGAGAGTTGGCGAACGCCTCGTGGATGCAGCTCGTATTACCGAGGTTCAGCGAGATCCGCATGCTTTATCAGGAACGGAAAAAAAAAGGAGCGATTCTTCGGTGCAATTTGTCGGATTCGTATCCCGTTTCACGGGTCTTTGCGACGCATTTAGCGCCAGTTTCACAAACTGAAGGTTAATCGCTTCTCTGTCTCTTCTTAGACAATAAGATAGAAAAAGATAGGGAGTTGACTGAACCCTGGTTAGCAGCTAATCCACGTTTGTGAAACTGGCCCTTAGGCCCGGTTTCATCAAACGTCGCTTAACTTTAATCTTAGTTTAATTCATGTTTGCCTCTTTCTAAAGTAACAGTTGGAAAGAGACAAAGAACGAATTAAGCTAAGCTTAAAGTTAATCGACGTTGGTGAAACCAGGTCGAATCAGACGAGCAAATTGTTGATTCGGATTTAATTAAAATTGGCGATTGACGATCGTCCTTTGGCCAACAAGAGCAAAGCAGCCACCCATACAGCACGTATGTCTAAAAGACGACTTAAAGATGTCTTAAAGATGTCTTTCAGACATGCGTGCTGTATGGGCAGCGATTTAAACGGCTCTCCTTAGAAGAAATCGTTATTCGCCAACCCCACTTCGAATCAACAATTTCTAGTCTGATTCGGCCTTTAGACTGCTCTCGATCGAAAACGCGGCAATCTTTTCAATCGGATTTCTAATTCGATTTTCGCTCGCGGATACAATTTCTTTACGGCGAAAGTAACAATTAATCGTCGACGGCTGGAATAGGATTATATCGCCTCCGGGCCTTTTCCGCCGCCTTGAGAGCTGTCGCAATCCTTGCCTTCTTAATGACATCGCGAGAAACGATTGTCGCAATCGTACCCTCGTGCTGCACCACGTAGCATTAATTGTCGTGATTACGCGCCGACCGCGGAATTGAGTAAATAAAATCTTAACCGTGATTGATTGCCCGACACCGTCGACCGCCGGCACACAATCGCAGCGTGTCGTTCCGCTTCGCCCATTGTCATCGATCTCGGTGCTCGAGTACGACATCGAGTACGCCCGCGACTCATTTAACTGGAGGTACTTCCATACCAGCCGCGTTAATACACGACCGACGTAAAGAAGTCTCGCGTGTGGCTCGCAGAGAGATCGTCGGGAGGTATTTTTAAGCCCGCGTCACACTATGTATTGCGAACCGCGAATCGAATTGAGATCGTCGATTGCATCTTAGTCAATCAGACGTGACAGCTTCGGAATCGATTGGTTAAATTGCGATCCGCAATCTCAATCCGGTCCGCGATTCGCAACACGTAGTGTGACACGGGCTTTATACAAGTCAAGCCTATCACACAATGGGAAAGCACAGACAATAGGAATAGGCAATAGGAACAGAATTTCCGACGCGTTGGATTTCGGTTCCCTATTCCCTGTACCTGACCAATTACAGTTGAGACTCTGCACTGTAAAAACATTACAGTGTAAAATTACAATTGTTAGTAGGTAATATTGGAGCTATCTATTAAAGGTGTTGCACGGCGAATGTTAAACAAAGATAAAATGATACGCGAGGGTAGTCGGGTGATGTTTCCGAACGCGGCGTCAGAGAAATTCGAGGATAACTATTCTCGCGGTGACGTTAACTTTCTGAGCCACGAGGTGAAACCGATAGCACTTTCCTCGCAGTTTTGCGACTGTCTGATATCCGAGACAAAGACACCCGACGCATATTCCTCGCACGTCGCGCGATACGTATAATGCGAAACGCACGCCGCAGCATCGTGCGAACGCGCGGAGATCGAGTTTTTAATGCAACCCTTGCGCCTTCGCGTTTTCTGCAGCGCTTGTCGCGGCGAACGCGCGCTTCGATTTTCAAACGCGCGACAATGACGATCTTTCTCTTCGTCGCGCGATACGTGGTGGATCGCAGGCTTTCTAGCGCACGCGATGCGCATCGAGCCACCCGTTGCCAAATGTTCGCGGAAACGGCGGTGTAATTAGCGACGTGGCCACCCGCAATGTGACGCTTGTCGCAGAGAATTTCTCCTGCGGGTAATTTTCTAACTTTCAATTAACCGAATTCCTATTCCTGGCGTGGCGGTTCGACCGAATTCGCTTCACATCTTAACGAGAGGGGAGAAAATAAATCCGTGTCTATTTTCCCGTGAACGATGTGAGTAGTGAAAACCGACAATAGGCCGCCAAGATCGGTAGAATTTGATCCATTAATCTGTACACGGAGAGAATGTTCTTCCAAAATTTATCTTGAAAATTATACATTTCACTAGTAATTATACTTAGTGTGCATTTTACTAGTAAAATGTGATAAAATTTCAAGAAACTCCCATAAAATTCCTCAAAATGCCACGTTGTCCCGCGATTATGTGATTTTCAGGACAAATTTTAAGAGAAAACTCTCCGTGTATAAGATGTCCGTGGAAAGCGTAGGTTATATTTTAGGATACGAAAGGAAGTTTTGAATGAGATTAGGAAATTAGTCATCAAGAATAAGATCGACGCGCGCCTTGTCGGCCGGGTTATGGTCGGGGCACAAAGCAACGTGACAGCTTACGCACCCACAGAAAAAATTTCCGGATCCAATGCTATTGCACTTCAATGTATCATAAAATAGGATCGATATAGCGCCAGTCATATTTATTATAGTGAAAGGTATATTTTAATCTTATAAATAAAAAATTCTAAAATCTAGAATCGTCCTTTGTCGAATATCGCGGTGCCAACTTCGTGCGTTGTAAGATGGAGGAAAATTTTATTCCAAACGCAAGGATGTATAAACTTACATTTATATAAGTTACTCTTGTCTCAACATAGCAAGTCAATCTTTTTTAATTCGACAGAGGAGAATAAGAATTATTGATTTTATTTTGACATTGTTATACTAAATTTTTATACTAAATGAGATTGTGAGAAATGTAAATGCGTCAAGAATATTTTTTGTCTCATTTCCATACAGCAGGCATGTCTAAAATACATCTTTAAGACATCTTTAAGTCGCCTTTTAGATATGTAAATATATCTAAAAGACGACTTAAAGATGTCTTTTAGACATGCGTGCTGTACGGGTTGTCAGTAACAGAGATCCTTACCGATGGTGCGACAAAGACGTAAGCGTAAACGTGTATGTTAGCTTAGCGCACAAGCCTTGGCGTATGCCGTACTTAACTCCAATTACATATGACGTTACATTTACGCCAAAGCCTGTGCGCTATCTACGTTTACACCTGCGTCTTTGTCGTAAGCTATTACGTTGCTTTGTGCTCTGATCCTTACGCGACGTAATCTGGACGCGGTTGCGCGGCCATTTAAACCGAACGTCAATTCCACGTCAATTGTCGGCAACGACGACCAATCAAATCGCGTCAGATGCGAGCGGAAATCGGTACGTGCGCGCGCGATGATGCGGGGGCAATTAGAGACGATTAAGGGCGGGCTAAACGCGGCCCGGCGATACGGACGGCTTCTGCGCCGGCGGCGTGTGTCGGCCGGCGCGGCGGAACGTCTAGTTTGTTGTACGCGGCACAAAAGTGAGACGGGTTAATTGAGCCCAATTAGAACCGGGTCGGGCGTGTACGAGCCGATAGTCTAGTTTTTTAACCATAATGTTATGCAGCCCGGGGTCTCTCGTTGCACTCGTTGGCTGCTCGCCGCTGCGACGAGAACACTCGTCCGTACACTCGCATTTACAATCGATGCGTGTCAGTCCGATTGCTCAGAAGCGTTTGCGAAAACGCCACGCAGAACATCGCGAAGCTATCGTTCTTTTCTTTGAAAAGAGAAGGAGCTTAAACGGCTTAAAGTGCTCTATGCGCGAAAGGAAGGACGGCAGTTCCGCGAGACCGTGTATATAGCTGTGTAACGAGAGGATGAAGCTGGATTAGCTTCCTGTGTACCACGGTACACGTAACGTTATTTACAAAGTTGCTTATACGCGTATCATGCGCGGATTTAACGCGGCGGTATTTACTTCTGTCTACATGAGCGCGAAACCACCGCGTGTAACCATTTTCCGCACTGCGGCGGGAGTAAATATTTAACGAATAAATAAGTGACGGTACAGAGGAGTATCCCACCGGCGGTGATTCTCGTACGTGCTTTCCGCGGACTCTCTCACGCATAACGCGCGTACGCGTTCACCGACATTGGTCATGCGTATCGCGCCGCGCATTCTAACATTCTCGTAATGTTTATTCCTGATTTTATTGCAGACCACGAGCGTGGATGGTGCCAGCGTAGTGGAGAAGCTATCGTTCTACAATCACACGGAATGCGAATGCAGGATGAGGACCGAGTTCGACACGGTGAACGACAGGCCCTCGGACCAGAGAGTCTCTCGGCACCACCAGTCCTCGTTGCCCCCCCAAAACATGAAAAAACCGCCGTCGAGAAAACCGTAAGTTCGCGAAAGGACACCCTCGACGATCCGCAACTACGTTGTCGAAATAAAATATCGAGTAGACAATAAAATATCACAACTATTTTAACCTATTTAATTTATATTTGTCTAATAGCTCGACGTTCGTAAAAAAGCGGGACTTTCGAAATTCATCTTATAATTGTTGCTAGACCGTTAACTCGTTAATCTAATAATTATCGAACAAATTTACTTCAGATGCCGTTGCCCGTCGGAATTCATGCCGAGGGTCATCCTGGACGGAATTTGTCAGTGCAACTGCAACGAGAACAACGAAAATTGCATAAAGACCAGACGTGGCAAGGGATACTTTTCCCTCGCGGACAGAATGTGAGTGTTCCTTGCGTATTGCAATTTCGTCGCGACTTGCTTCACGCGCCGGAGCATCTTTCGGTAGACGTGCCTAAGCTGAAAAGTGCGAAGTAAAGCACCGCAGCATCTACATACACCGCGGCATTTACAAGACAAAATAACGCAAACTGCACCTATAACTGAATATTCTGTTCATTATCACTGGATTTACTGATTACTGAATTCACTGATTATCACTGAAAACAGTGGATTATCACTGATTGATTTTTAGAGAGTAAACCAACAGTGAAAATTCACCGATTCACTGAATAATTCAGTACTACACTCATAACCGTTTTAACTGACTGACTTTTATAGAGTAGAACGTTTGTTTAAAAAATGCGAAGGAACGGTTCCGACCCACCGTCCTCAATCAACCGGTGTCACATATAATTTTCTGGCTCGCAGATGCATTCAGAACAACGCGTGCGCGATGCCCACCTGCGAGTTCGGCGAGTACATCAAGGCGCAAGGCAAGTGTCCGCGGAAGCGGGACACCTTCGACGCGATGACGAACCACCGCACGAATCCGAGTCACCACCGAGTCAGAAGCTAGACGGCGACGGGGCGGCGAGGAGGATCGAGGATCAGCGTGAAACGCGATCTTAGTGCCAATGAAGACGGAGCTAGCACGCGACGAAGCGCACGAGAGATCGACGGTGCCATTTTCTTTCATTTTCCCTTAAACGCTTTCGTCGGAGAGACTCGCTACATACACATGTACGCGTATATGTTATGTATAAAACAAAATATATATGTACGTCATTATCTAAGCACGTATATACATATACCGTCGTCGCTTCTTTCTTTCTTTCTCGCCGCGATCGGCGAGGATACGAAGTGATAATGGTCGTCCACTTTCAGTACCGATGATCGTCTCGCGGAGGGGGGGGGGGCAGTAATATAGTATTTCGATGTTTAACTGATGAGGCAATAATTTTATTAGCGCTCGACGTTCACGGCGGTTCTCCACCGCGGGAGAGAAGATAAGTAACTTGATATTTCAATTGTAAGATTTCGAGTTGTTAAGGGGATCCTGGACTGGCGGCTGAACTTTGAAATCCTCGATAATCTAATGTCCTATATTGTCGTTTAGCCCAAGACGTGAAGATGTGTTGGGAACATACGTATATATAGACAACATGAAAGAGACGAGAGCAGAGTTCATGAGATATCTATTCTTGTCTAACACGTTGCAACGCTGTCTGCTGCAAAATCTCGCACCTATAGTTTATCATTCCATAGCTACACTTCGCGTGTAAAAATATGAGTTTTTACTTAAAATACAGTTCTTCAGTTATCTTTTTTATTGAACTTTTAATCTTAGTTTTACTTATTCTCCAATCTAATCCGAATTGCAGACTGCTTTCGATTTGTGCAAATAGGTTATATAATTTACGTGCAACAGCAAGAAATATTTTATAATATTTGTTCGTTTCTTATCTTAAACTGACCAGTCTGCAATGTATTTTTGTGCGCACTCTAACTGTACGGAAAGATTTTTAAATCTGTAAAGCCAATTCAAAGATAGCTGTGTCACGCTATATAGTCGGCATTCGCCGTCACTCCAGGCATCCTCTAAAGATAGCGAGGTAACATTTTATGTAACTGAAGACGATTTCTCTAGAATAGGACAATATACGTATACAAAAATTAACGATTGCACTGTAAAATTACCAGGCGAGATGAAGTGCTTCTAGTAATAATTTTCGAGAAGGAAAGTGACTGCCTTTCGAGCAAGAATCTCGTCGGCGAGGGGGGCTCGCCGAGGGAAATCGCGCAGCGAGCCACCGAGATTACGCACGTAGATCCGACGGGGTGCGACGTCTCCTAGGTTAATGATAATTTTATACGATAAGCGACACCACGGATATCATAGTTCACGCTGAGAAGAAGACCTCGGGCGTGAGCCTAGTCTGAGATCCTGTTTCCGTTCTGCGCGAGAGAACTCTCGACTCGTTGGGTCGCGCGTGAACGGCCGAATTCGGCGAGCTAAATTCCTCTTCCTCCCCCGCCCCACCCCTCCCGCGACTCCCGCTTCTTCAATTGGCCTACGCGAGACATAATTATATGTGTTTATTGCGGCAGCTTCGCCCCGGGCGGCACGCGACGAGTAGGAAATACCAAAGCACGCGAAACACGGACGCGAGCGATCGCGCAGAATCGAGACAGATCGTTAATGTAGCGACACTTTGTATGTTACACGATCGCAGAATATCTCTATTGTATTTAATCGAGCATTGATGTACGCCCCACGTTCGTTAATTTAATATTTAATCGATAGAAAGAGAGAGAGAGAAAGAGAGAGAAAGAGGAAGGGGAGAGGACCGGGCGCTCCGTTTGTTACGCCTCCGCGTGGAGTGACGGCGCAGCAGCTGCGCGTTTGTAACTTTGTATACTTTCTACGTTATTAATAAAACTGCAAAATCACAGAGAACCACGGTAGACCAATTGCGCGCGCCGAGACGTGAAAATGCGTGCTTGGACTATGCGATTGTCCGCGAGGAGGTAGTTGTATTGTTCATTACCGCCGCATCTATACTACGCGACTATAATATAATCTAGAGGATAGAAAATATAATACTCTGTACGATTTCACCTCTTATCTCTCATTCTCCTCCTTCCAATTCTCAATTCTCGAAAAACTGTCTTCTCCCAATTTCAATGTCTCCCAATATAAAAATATATAAAAATAGCTTTGACTCTTCGAGTTGCCAGTGTTGAAATGTTAAATTAAACAAATTGACCTCAGCCGACAGAAAAAATATCCGCCAGGTGTATTCTCGGCTAAATAAAGGATGTTCTTTTCTGCCAGTTGAGGACGAGTTATTTGATTCCATTTGATAAAACTATATCTCGTGTTAAACGTATCTTTAATGTATCTTCGCGAAGCTTTCGAAAATCTATTCACGAGACACCACACTCTTAGAACTCGTGCACAATGCGGGAAACGAGGAATTAAATATATAAGGAATTAGGAATCACATATATATATAAATTTCGATCTATGGAAAGCCGCACACGCGTTCACAAAAGAGGAAGAAGGAAGTCGCAATTCCTGGTTTTCCGCGGATCGAAATTTAATTCCCTGCTGCTAATCCCCTAGGTTTAATTCCTCGTTCGCCTCATTGTGCACGAGACCGTACTCGTGAATCCCTTTGGACGGAATCTTTCTGCATTTAACAAAAGACCGAGCCGAGTGTCGCTCAAGGATCGATGGAAGGAAAACGCGTGTCCTGCACGATGAAGCTACGGGGATCGCGGAAACTAAAGTGGCCGTCCGAGCAGATACGTAACAATACAAAACAGTTAGAGTCAAAAGAAGTTACATTTCTACGAAATCCAAGAATTGAAGGGGCGGCAAATACTTTTGGCCAATGCTGTGTAACTGGAAATCAGTGACTATTCCCTGATTTCAGTGATAACTTACTGATTGGTTTTTAGATAGTACCGGCACGAGGAACCATTTGAAATCGCGAAGCAAGTGCCGGGTGTCTGGCCTCGACGCGTCATCCTTCAGTCCAAATCGGGAAAGCGTTTTCTATCGCACACTCTTCGAATTTCCTTCTACTCTCCTATTTATATTACATTTGCTTACATATATATCGTTGTGTATTATATACTGCATATCTACGAATTTATATAGAACGTATGTCTAACACCGTAAATGCATGTTAAATGAAGAATGTGTTAAATTTATAATTTTTACATTACATTTTGGAGTTAGAAATATATTTCATTTGATTCGCAACTTTGTGTGATGCATAAGCTACAAGTATCTCCGCGCGAACCTACCTCCATTCCTCGCGAGGTAGTCACGGAAAGTTACGGGAGTCACGGATCCAGAGACCGCGATCTTAATTCATCCGGCGAGGCGCGAATGAGAATCAACTTCGTATCTATCGTGGATCCCGCGGAGATCCGACAGACGCAAAATTTCGCCCCGGCACGCGCACGACCGCGCGCGCGATCCCGCTTGCAATGGCGGCGGCCGTGAGCGCTACGTAAAGCGGCAAAGGGAGAGGACGGGGCACTCACCAGTCGCGGGCAGCCGGTAGTAAATCATCGCGCAGATCGTGTGGACCGAAAGAGGACGGTAACAACTGAAACAGATAAACCATGTTGTACACGCGCATTACTAGCGCTCGGGTAAATCGAGATCGTGTCGTCGGGGCGCGTTTCGCCCCGATCTGCTTCTAGATCAGAATCGACCGGCGAACGATTGAAACGAGCTTACGCCGAGACGCGGTCGAGAGCAGTGTACCTTGACTGAAGACGTGTCACTGTCGCCGAATCTCGGCGATCGGTCCAGAATTCGCCGCGGGGGGTGCGGGCGCGGAAGAGATCGCGACATTCGCGACGCAGGACGCGGCGAAGGAAAGCGCGGGCGCTCGTGGGAAAAAAACTGCCGCGAATCCGCGTCCCGTGGCGGGCAAGATTGAAATCCGGGCGACGTTGGCGACGGTGGCGCCACCTGGCGACGCGAGCGTGGAAGCTAAGAGGATCCTAACGTCGTCAGTCTTACGGACACGGTCGAACAGAGTCCTCGCGCTCGTAAAACATTTTCTTAGCTTTCGGAGAGAAGCCACGACCGTTTTAGGTGATTCTTGAATGCAGCACGCACTCGGTGGACATTAGAAAACGTGGACATGAATTACGTAGTCAATATTCACATTTTGCCAAGTGAGTAACGCAGATATGCACAAATTTGGCCGCGTCCCGCGCTATGGTTAGATCCCATGCGATGATCGTGTATGTAAAATAATCTTGAGTACAAGAGTATCGCACCGAAATTATACACTTTAACACCGACACCGTGCAACAAAGGTTAGCGATTGATCGAGACAAAATCGTCGGAAAATAATAAAAAATTCAGTGTCGCTTGTATTTTCACTTATTGTTAGATATACATTTCGTGAAAAATATATAAGCTACTAGCATTAATAAATCACCGATAAATTCTAGTTAAAGGACTCGATTTAATATTTCGTATATTATTTCGCGCTTTCAGAAACCCAGAAACAGCCGACAAATTATACACGAAGCGCCGAGAGACTCAATGCGATGATACGAGATGTGTCCGAGTACGAGCGTTGTTTAAAGGAGCAATTGTCGTCCGTAATTATCGCGATAAAGAGGTAATTTCAAGTTAGATACCTTTGATCCTTGGATGTATATGATGTATGGATCTCGTATGAATCGCGCTAGATACTTGCTGGCTAATCGAGCATCCATGGCAAATCACGGGGACTCAGCGATCGCGGTTTCTTCCCGCACTTTTCGCGAACGCGAATCGGGAAAGAACAATACGATATGCGGAACGGCGAGAGAATGGGTTTGTTTTCTGTTCCTGCACTGGTGAACTAGTGCAGTAAGCTAGAATGAGAAAAAATATGCTTGTCTTACTCCAATTTATTGCACTAGTTCACTAGTGTAGGAACAGAAAACAAGCCTAATAACAGACTCGTTCAATTATCGCCGCGTGAATGATCCGTGCGTACGGCGCGACCTTGTTTCGCCGAGCGCGCCGTAAACAATTCGGTCGAGAGCCGAGCGCCGGTTCCACGAAATGACGTAGCGCCGTAAAAACCGCGGTCGAAAATATTCCATTGTGTTATTCGGCGCGGATCAGTCGTGCGAGGCGGGTGTTCCGTGCGTTTTCGCGTCGCTCCTCGTAACGCGATTATCTCCTACGAGAATCTCGATCGTCTCGTACGAGAGATATTAAACATTTATCAATCGCGTTTAAATAATTGTCGCGATCCGCAGTTATACAAAAGTGCGCGTGTGACATAAAGTTTCCATTTTCGTCGCGCTCGGGAGTGCCGTTTCAATAATCGAACTAGACTTCAAAGCCCATTTGAGGGACAAGAATTCGTTAAGTGTCCGTTCTTTCCGATGGCCACACTTACTCTCTAAAATTTGTGGAGTGAAAATACTGCTATGGAGTGAAATGTTCACCCTATTGGCGTGAATATTTCCTCCAACAGAGTGAATATTAATTCCAATGGAGTAAACATTTCACTCCATGGCAGTATTTTCACTCCACAAATTTTAGAGAGTACGAAGTTTGATAGTTATTGAGGTATAATACTCGTCAACTCGAAGTGGTGACGGACTTGACGGAACAGAATTTTCGTTTCTTTCACGTGGGCTTGCAATCGGGAGTGTAGATTCGCGCGAACGATCTTTGTGTTTTCGCGAGTGTCCCGAAGAACAATCTGAGTGGAGGAGGAGGCCTGGAAGGGCATCAGGCGCCGGCGGAGCAACTTTATGGTAAGTGCCATTTTTCATTTTGTGTGAAATGAATCTTTTTCCCGGTTTGTTATTGAGTTGTTTTATTTGATACCTCCATAAATTCGAAATAATACTTGGAGGAAACGAAGTAATTCGAAATTTTCTAAAAGTTCAGTCTCGTAAAGATCTTTTACGGAAAACCTTTCGCGCAAGAATCATTTAAACATTTAATCAAATACAAAGTGCGATACGCATAAGAATGATATCTTGCAGTATTAGTTTTTTTAACAATGCTTTAATATACATTTAAAATTTCTGTTACAGAATCGTCGTAGTAAACTCCGCTGCTGCGCATCGGGTCGGTAAGTCGAAATCTTTTTATTATTATTAAAATTACATGCATCTTCGTATTTTCGCGATCGGTCTTTGCAGTCAGTTTTTAAAAAATTGTCAAGAAATTATTAATTGTTTAATTTAATCCATATTATAAATTTCACTTTCTCGCGGAATGTAATTAAAATAAACATAACGCAAAGTAAGTTGCTATTTTCTATGTACTTGAATTTCGAATTTAAAGATTGAGTCACGAAGAGACAGTTACTAACTATTGTCGAATAAATAACGAAAGTGAAAATATATTTGATGAGTTTTATACAGCAAATTTTTTTACTTACTTTTCTTCTTTAATTAACTTCTCGAGGTCGTGCATTTTCATACGATCGACGCTCGCATATAGTTCGAACCGTACGAAATATCTGTCGGTGACGATAATAAACCGACTATGGAAGGAATTTTCTTCCTTCCTGGTCTCTGGTCAAAATGATCGTATGGCCAGGAGCAACGAAAGTATGTCCAATCTGGCCCAACGAAAGAAGACTGTATACGACAAAGTAAGTGGTCAACATTGACCACTTTGATAGATTTGTAAGATGATGTACGAAATAAGTTGATTTTTTTTTATTTGTCAAAATTCGGGTGGGTTATATACATATATTCTTATCTTCTTTACATATTCTCGCATATGTGCGAGATTAAAAAGATCTTTATCCCACTCGCGCGCGTATAACCCTGAATCGGACCTCTTATAAATGGTTTCACGGTTTTAACGAAAGACTTGTAGGTTTATTAATAAAAAGTTTAAGCGCGGGTAGCTAGGAAAATGGATAGGACTGTATAGAACGGAATACAGGTAGGTAAGGATTCGGATAGGCAGGGACAGGGGGATAGTGAGAAAACTTCATTGGCGAGTTTACTATTTATCAATGAAATTTGTCATTGGTATCAAAGGTATCTCACTTTTCACGGGTTCACGCTAGAGACTAAGATTCATTATATGTATAGCCTCAGGATAAGGTGCTGAT